AGCATAAGCAAATGCATAAGGAAATGGACCAATCAATTTCCTTATGCTTATGCGTTATGCTTTATGCAAAAGTCTGTGCTCCGGCCATACAGTATTACGTTACGTATTGGAGCATGTGACGCGACAAACCTGTAGATTGTAGTATTGGAGCGAGTAGGAGCATGCGACGCGAGCTAGTTGCTAGGCGGATTTGCCTTTTTTTCTGCGCATGCGTTTGGAAATCGGCCTCAATGAAGTATTAATTCAAAAGAAATAAGGTATATTCTCAGCCCCTTTATTTATTTTTTAAATTTTTTCGTTGTAAGCCTCCCAAGCTTAACTGCGTTCCGATATTTGCTACTAGTATTAAAATACTATAGGTAGATAATGTAAGCTATAAATTTCAGTACTGATAGTGAATATCGGAACGCAGCTTTTTTCGCGCCCAACAGCGCTCAAGCATTATGTACCTATATACACCGCTAAATTCAGCTAGCAATAATCAGTATTCAGTACGTCTTGGACAGCATCCTTATGTGCGTAGTAAACTTTGTGGATATAGTATCAACTTCAGACATAGCCTGCGTTTCGAAATTCACTGCCAGTACTGAAAATCTGCAATGTACGTAACGTAAACTATAAATTTTCAGTACAGTGATTATATTTATCTTAATAAAAGTGTGAATCTTAAATTGTGGACTAATTCTATATTTTTTTAAGTAAAAGAAGAGAAAAAGATTTTGAACTCAATCTTTTATTAAAGACAAACAGATAAGAAAAACAGATAGAAAGAAAAAAAAAGTAATATTGCATTTTATCCAGGATACAATACGAAGGCCAATGATATACGAAGAAGGGATAGACCATATTGATATCACATTCCATAAAATATGTAAGTAGTTGATGTATATATTTATGCTTTCTGTGACTAAGCAAATTGTTCTGGGTACATTGTAATACAACAATGAGTTTTTAAAGTATCACGAAACTTACAAATAATTTATTATCTCCTTTTACTATTCGTATCTTATAAACAAGGCTTTATAAAGGTAAATCTATAAATATATTAAATATAGGAATCCATATTTTGATTTCAGATTAATATTTAAAATTTACCTGCTTTTTGTTAACTATAAACAAAAAATGGCAAAAGGTATCTTCTGTATTAATCAAAATTTGAATTTTTTATATATTACAACAGTGAACTTTGCTTTGCATCTCTTCACTCATGGATTCAACTCGAGCAACAAATTTTCGGCGTGATGAGGAACCAAGATCAGTACGTAATGAAGATCATAATAGCCATTCAATTTCTCGTACTACAAGAACAGAAGAAGAAAAGCAGAGACGCAGACAAGAGTGGCTGCGACAGCAAGAACGTGAGAGACAACATGAAAAATTAAAGCAGCAAAAAATTTTAGAGTATGAGAGAAAACGTGCGCAATCTTTAAAACATGCGCAAACTTTAAAGCATTCTGAGCAAAAACCTTCACGTCATAGTCGAAGTAGAAGTGATAGCAAGTCTCCCTCCCTTCACCGGCATAGAGGAAGATCTACATCAAATGTTTCCAAATCTGGCACTTTGTATGAAAAGTGAGTCTTAGGCATATATTTGATTATATATGATCATATCTTTTCTAATCCAGGTATGTTCACTAGTGTTTTATATAGAAATAAGGTCAGAACTTGAAAATGTATAAGAAGAATACTTCAATCAAGAAACAAAAAAAATCGGTAAATGATACAATAAATTTATTGGTTGAGAAAAATTACAATAAAGAAGTAATTACTTGTGATACTATTACAAATGTTTAAATTCAATTTAAAAAAATTATTTTACAATGTAAACTATAAATGTTCAAAAATAACAGTAGAATAACAAAATAACAATATTTTTTAAAGAACGTAAATAATATACTATTTTGGAAAAGAATATGATTATTTTAAGAGAGAAAACATTACCTATTATTACACAAATTGTTTACACAAATTATATACAAATAATATATAATTTTAGGGAAAAAAAACGACTGGTTATCTTAATAAAGAAAATATAATTATTTATTTAATTTAACATATTATGATTGAATTCTCTTTAGATTAGATGGGTCTTCAAGTGGGGCAGTACCCTTGTTCAAAGGTGCTCAGGGCATACAGATTAGTACTACAGAGCTACGTCGAATTAAGGTTGATATTCGCAGAAATATTCCTGCGAAAGGATCCATTTCTGAACTAGAACGAGATATACTTAATCCTGAAGATGTGGTCGTCAAAAGAAGAGAGGGTAAAATGCATTGTATTTCTTTAAATTTCTACATTCTTTGTAGAAACTTAATTATTATCTAGATGATATTGAAGCATCGACTTCAGAGAAAATGATGTCTATTCGCGTATATTATATAAATAATTACACAGTGAATTGAATTCTTGTTATCATCTTTACTGGAAGAACAACTGGAAGATTTTGCTCTCTGGAAATGAGCATGAAGCTGTTATGTCAGTAATATTAAAAAGAAAAATGACATCTGGCTATTTTAATAAGGAAAATATAATAATTACTTATTTAATTTAACATATTACGATTGAATTCTGTTTAGATTGGATGGGTTTTCAAGTGGGGAAGTACCCTTGTTCAAAGGTCTTCAGGACGTACAGATTACTATAAAACTACGTTAAATATAAGGTATTTGCAAATATATTCCTGTGAAAAGATCCGTTTTTGAACCAGAACGGGATATAGTTAATCCCGAATGGTTCTCAAAAGAAGAGAGGGCAAAATTGTATTTTTTTAAATTTCTACAAAGAATTTCTACAAGAAAGATTTCTACAAAGAAATTTCTACAAAGAAATTTCTACAAAGAAATTTCTACATTCTTTGTAGAAATTTAATTATTATCTAGGGTTGATATTGAAGCATTGGCTTCAGAGAAAATAATGTCTATTTGCGTATATTATACAAATAATTACACAATGATTTGATTTCTTTTTATTTTTAGAAGCATATATCAGCTGGAAGATTTTGCTCCCTGAAGATGTTAGTGACACAAGAAAGATAGAACTAATGATTAAAGAAAGTCAACAATGAAGATTGGTGTAGATATACCTTCCTGTGAAGATATACGATGGAGAAGAAATTAAAACGGCGATAGTTAAAACCAACAAAGTAAAGGAGCGACATATGGTTGTAGATCCTTCTACAATTAATATTAAAAAGAGTAACAAATTATGGAAGATATTTGGGTATAAGTATAAAAAATTCTTGTAGTTCTTCTTTATTATTTATAGAAATATTGTTTGATTAATTGTTAAAATTGTTAAAATTGGAATTAACTAGTCAAAACTAGTATCACCTAATGTTTGTAGTTAAAACTGTAATTTGTTGTTTTTCGATTATAACTAGTTTAATTTAATAATAAACTCTATATTTGGATATCTTTTTTTGTAATAAAAATTTTAAATGCTTTAAAATTTATTTTATTTAAGTAAATCTAACATATATAAATAAATATATATATATTTTTTTATGGTATTTTAAGTTATCTAGTGATCCCATTTTATTTCTGTTTCAAGTACTAATAAATTATAATCGGTAAATTTTTGATAAATCTAGTTTTAACTACAGACACATTATAGAGATGATTATTTCCAACGTCGGTTTATTTTAACAGACGGTTCAAACTTGTCGACAAAAAAAACTTATTTTGCGATAATTTTTTGCACATTTTATATTTCAAGAATTGATTATTAAATTGAATGATACATTATAACATACTTCATTTATCAATGGATAATCTTTATGTTATCTTAATGGATAGTCTTTTTGTTTATATCTAACAGTTTTAGTCTAATGTTTTAGCACTCTGGACTGGAATTTTTAAGCATCGCTCATCTTTAATGATCAACAACTGAAAATGGGTGTGTCCAAATTTTTTTTTTTTTTTTTTGTATTGTTTCTCTGAGTGAAATAAAAACAAAAGAGGATAATCATTCAAATTGATCGATTGTAGATTGTAATAAGAGACTTTTTCGCTCAATAAACTTGGACAGATTTACAGATTTTATAGAATTAATAAAAATATCATATTAAAAATTAAAAACAAAGTGTTCAGATATGTATTTTTTGTAAAATTATTATATAACATCTTAATTAAGCATCAAATTACTTTCAAGATGTTATGTACGATAATAGCATGATTGTAAAGTATTATAATAGTAAAATTTCTCTGCAAACTGGAAGATGAACAATATATTTTAAAAATCAGATTGTATTAAAAAAGAGAGACTCTACAAGACTTCTCAAGACACATTTCACAATCTTATATTGTCATTCAGTAAAAAAAGCTAAACAGCATGTTGTGCATCAAAGTTTTCAATTAGATTGAATAAAAACTTACATTGAATCATTACATAGAAAATGGTATATTTTAAAGTTTGAATTTCATAGAATGCTTTTATATATGTTTTTTTAAACATCATGTTAAAAGATCGGGGATCAAGAGCCGAAGCCGGATGTTAGCTTATTAATCTTCTTTATGTCGTCCTATTATAAATGTCGTATATCTTTTGGTCAATCTTTTCGACCATCTTTAGTACATATATCCTACTAAATCGAGCGATACTAAATTGATAATTTCTAATGAAACAAGAAATATGAAAAAATCTTACTGTGATCTTTTCTGTCTTACATATTCTGTCTTCTCAGAAATATATTGTTTAAAAATCATTGAAATAGAAACATTTCACAAACGTATATTTAGCATTTAAATACTAAGCTTATTTTATGAATATATTTTTATTAATTATAAAAACATAGACATCTATTATACTATTTTAGACGTTACAATAATAACGATTAATAGCAATAATCTAGAAGTGAAAATACGTTGTGGAATAGTCGAGAGAATTAGAAATCATTATTAGCAAAATTATTTTTACTTGCATATCAAAATTGTATTATTAAAAGATGTAATAAACCATATAGGGGAAGGATGTAAACCGATATTCGACAGAGAAGAAATTAAAACGGCGATAGTTAAACCTAACGAAGTGGAGGAGCGACGTACGGTTGTAGCCGTAGATAGGGACCAACCAGGTATGCATTATGCAAACAATTGTTGCTTGTTATTGTTTTGATTTGGCTGTAATTGAAAAGTTTATGATGTTTTTAATTTTTCTTAAAGTTTTTTCCAAACCCTTTAAATAAGAAAAAAATATAAAAACTAGCCCGGCTTATATACTTATATAAATATTATTCAAATTATAAATACATTTCAAATACTAAAAACAATAAACGCTCACAGAATCAGAGTTGGATTTCTGTGCTCGTGATTATTAATCAAACACATTGATTTCGACACATCTGCAATGTGCCGAAACGTTTTTACTGAAACTTTTGATTAATAATCACGAGCACTGAAATCCATCTCTAACTCTGTGAGCGTTTGTTGTTTTTAATATTTGACGAACGTAAAAGCTAGTTTTTTATTTTTAATTTGTATTATTTTAAATACATTTCATATGAATATAGATATATTTTGTATAAATGTACAAGGATGTGAAATGTGGAACAAATTTTATCTGTGATTAATCTAAGCAAAATAAATTTGTGTTACATGATGTATATAAAAAAATAAATTAATATCCTAGTTTTTAAACTTTGATGTTCTATAAGTTGTATATTGTCTTAGATATTCTATAACAGTGTTATAGAAAATACTTTAACACTAATGTTTCAGTTTCCTCGAGCAAATTACGAACTTCCACGAAACGCTCTTCATCTTTGAGTCCTACCAGGAATCGTGGTTATAGTCCCGGATATTTATCTTCCTATCAATCAAAGTTTGTATAAATTGACAACAATGACAATAATACAATGCTAAATTTATATTTAATGTTTTTTCATTTTTGTTTCAGGTATCGTATAGATTCGAAGCGTTACGATAGTAGGACGAATTATC